CAGCCCCCTGCACCCCTGGTACCGCCGGTGATCACCGAGGCACGCACCCTGCAACAGTTCATCAAAAATGGCCTGGCCTAATGATCGTCTGGGCAGATAATCGCAGGCGAGTTAATTGTAAGGTTCGATATGGCATCTTGTCAGCCGAGATAAGTTGTCACGTTTTCCACTTGAGCTGAAACTAAATGATTGTAAAATAAGTTATGAGCGTCCTTGGGCCTGTCTGCCGGAATGATAGCTAAGAATACATCCCTGGCCCATCAGTCTCCAGCCGGCCGCGCGATATTTATGTGCAGCCAGTGTTACTTTATCCCCCTCTAGTCATGCTTGTCAGCTCCGCCGGTGAAAAGTGGACCGGCCTCCCAGCTCCGAGAGGCCGCAGATTGTTAGCATCACCCCGTGGATTATATATTTTGGGGTGGGGGTGCGCTGGCATGGAGGCCAGATTGGGAAGAACTAATGGCTGGCATGGAGCCCACAGGCAGCGTCCTGGCCACCCGGTCCCTGTGTGCCAGGCCTCAGCCATCCCCTGACCATTGTGGTTGATACAAAATAAAGTGTGTTCTTTGTATACAGCCCGGAGACACACAGCAAGCAGGCTTATTGCAGGCCGGGGTCTGTGGCTGAGAGATGCTTGTCAGGCGGAAGGAGCTGATCACTCAACCTTTGATTCCACGTCTGGAAACTGCTTCTCTTGGGTGGGGGTGGGGGTGCAGTCTCAGGGGCGGGGGGTACTTGGACAGCAAGCAGCACTGGCTCGTCCGCATTGGAGCTGGAGATAGCTGTCTCCGTGTGGCCATTCAGCTGGGGAGCAATTCGGTGGGCCTGGCCTGCTGAGATTTTAAGCCCAGGGCACTGTCCCACTGGTCTCCACGCTCTTGCCTTGGCCTGCTGAGATTTTAAGCCCTGTCCCACTGGTCTCCACGCTCTTGCCTTGGCCTGCTGAGATTTTAAGCACTGTCCCACTGGTCTCCACGCTCTTGCCTTGGCCTGCTGAGATTTTAAGCACTGTCCCACTAGTCTCCACGCTCTTGCCTTGGCCAGGGCCTCACCTGGGACACTGTCACATGCCTTCCCCACCCTAGGGAGCCACGCTCTTGTGCAATCGCCGTCCTGCAGCTGATCACTGGCCCCACCATCTTCTCTGTTCACGTCTGTATCTTACGTTGGCAGCTGGTTCATACCCAGTCTTCCACCCTGGGCTGACCTCCCCTCTCTTTCTCCCCAAGCAAGAAAACTGGGGAGGGACTGGCAGGGCAGGGGGTGGTGGGGTGCAGCATATGCAGAGCAGGGAGAGAGAAAGGAAGTAAGTCACGAAGCTGTAACTTCCTGGCCCAGAGCGGGATCTGCTAGGTGATGTGGTGCTCTGACCGGAGCAGACAGATAGTGGCCTAAGGCTGCCAAAAGAAGGCCTTGTGGCACAACAGATACGTGCTGGGTTGCTCCCTGGAAGGTGGGCAGTTCAAACCCACCGGCTGCTCCCATGGTGACAGGGACACCCTGTGGCTCAGTCTGGGGTCAGCAGCACTAACAGCCGTGCAGCTGTGACTGAGCGCCCCAAACGCAGGGGCTCCTGGAAACCAAATGTGTTGTCGTCAGCCCTCCCTGTTTTCCAGCGGCAGGGCCCGGTCTGTGCTTCTGCTCCAGCCCCTGTGCCTGGAGGCATTCCTGGGGTGGAAGCTGGTGGGGGCAGGGCCTCTGGGCGGTCCTCTCGGTTTTCTTGGATGACACCAGTCCGGAAGATTGGGGCCCACCCCCTGCTGAGACCTCACCACCCCCCACCCCCCCAAAGACCAGGTCGCGCGCCCGCAGGATAAGGAACTAGGGTCGAGCGTGTCATCGGGTGGGGGCCAGCCTTCCCCTTCATCCCAAACAGGGGCAAATGGCCCCCCAGATGCCACAGGAGGCCACAACAGGAAGGCCTTGAGCAGAACCCCCAAAGCCAAACTTGCTGATTCTGCCTCACAGCGACTCCTCAGGACAGAGCCGCCCCAGGAGGCCTCCTCAGCGGTCATTTTTAAGGAAACTGGCCACCACGCTTCTCTCTGGCCAAGCTAGTGGGGGGTGGGGGCGCTCAATTTACATTCTCAAAAACCCGTTTTCCTCTGTCTTGGGATCCGGATGGGTCGGACAGTTGGTGGGGCAAGATCGCACGAAATCAGAGCCGACTCGGTGGCTGTCAGTTACAAGCCCTGTGTGGACCACTGGTAGTGCAGTGGTTAAAGCTTTCGGCTGCTAACGGGAAGGGTTGGTGGTTGGGACCCTCCCGTCCTCCTGCGGAAGAAAGATGGCACAATCAGCTTCCAGTAAGAGACCGGGCTGCATCCTCCGGCCCTTCCTGTCTCACCAGCAGGGCCACCCAAGCCAGAGTGGACTGGGAAGCCATGGGTTGAGATGTGGGTTTCCATGAGCTCCAGACGGGATAGTCCCTTCTGCTCTGCAGCCCCAGGCCCCGTAACTCCCTCCCGCTCACCCACCAGCCCAGAGCTGTGTCCGAGCCACACCGTGATGCTCATGCTCGGGCCTAGACCCAGCCTGAGCACTGTCCCCACCCTGTCTTCCGTCTTCTCACTCCTTCACCAGCACCCTAAGTCCCTGCACCGTGCCTCCACCATCCAGTGCCCAGGCCCCTGCACGCTGGCCTCTGCCCGTTTCTCCTCAGCACCAGTGCACTCTGGGTTGTGGCCCTGCTCCCTGTGAGCACCACCCACCCAAGGGTCTTCATAAGTCTTCTCAGGAAGGGGCCCCAAGCGCCTGGGAACGTGACAAACCTACCATCGGGGCTGAGTGCATGGAATTGATTAGATGTAACAGCCAGCCCCTGAGTTGCCAAGATACTGAACCCTGAAATACAGAACTTAGAAGACAGGGGGTGTGGGCCCCCTGACACCCCCTTTCAATGTAACCAAACCGAACTCACTGCAACGCTGCAGGATGGGGCAGGCCTGCCCGTGGTTTCCCAGCTGTTCCTCCCCACGGGAGGGACAGCCCGTCTGTGGATCACAGCTCCATGTGTGACCCCTAAGGCAGCCCCTGTCCTGCAGAGAGCTTTGCTCTCCTGCCCTCCGCACCCCAGTGCAGAGTCTGCGGCCACCTCCAGC